GCGAGACCCGCCGCGAGAGGGCGCGCCCTTGCCGCGCCAGGCGGCCAGGTGAATGCCGCTGGTTCGACGGGCCGCGCAAGGTTGCCCAAGAGCGCCGCGCCTGCCAACGCGGGCCCTTTCCCTCTCGAGGCCCGAGTGCAGCAGTCTCAAGATCCCGTGGTGGGCGCCAGTCGAAGACCCTGCGCCGCCAGCTCCATTCCGCGACGATCTCTGTGGCGGCGACGAACCGCAGCGACCGCCTGACCCATTGGCGCCCCGAGCTCCTGGAGCTCCTCGACCGTGACCTCGAGTCGTGGACGCTGCAACGGTCGTGCGCCGGAGGACTGGGCCAGCTTCGACGTCCCTCAGAGCTTGCGTATGCTGCAGGCCGGTGATGCGTCGCAAGTGCGCTGCGACCTCCGTTAGCTACGCGTCCAGTGACGGCACGATGCGCGGACTCAGATGGAACTTGCATATGCTCGCAACAGCCCGGTGCCCGAGCGCAGTCATCCAAGTCATCGCAGGCGTGGTAGACGCGTGACGCGAGTGCATGGCCTGGGCGAGTAACGCGCCACGAATCAAACCTTCGGTCGAGCTGGTCACGGCTCCCGATGAGGACATAGACGGGGGCATCTTCTTCTATCGCCAATATCAGATCTGGCACGTGATCGATGGGGCCGGTCGATGGCATGCAGCAGAGCTTCTCGAAAGTGACTCCAGCGATGCTGGACGCCGATCTTCTGAGATCTTGTGCCCTGCCCTTCTGGCATGTCGGATTTGGATCTTCGGCCCATTCCAGACATGGTACCATTCGGACCATTTCAGACCGCGGTGTTCGCGGTATCTTTGCCGCAGCTAAGCCATTCGACCGAGGCGGCGCCGCGATCCGAGTGCGATCCCCGGACCAGAACGCCCGCGTGATCGAGTGGCGCGGTGCAATTCTACGACGCGCCATACGTTGCAGTGAACACCATCGGCGTGGAGGAGTAGGAGTCGGCTGGCCCGACCTACTGTCTTTCTTTGATTGCAGGCGGTTCTCTCATATCTTAGGCGGGCGCAACGCCGTGCAACTCGCGACTCGGACGGCAATTGCGGCTGCTGCTGGACATGTTGGCCTCCAGATGACGCGGCGCGCGTGGCCCGCAACTCGCTTTGGCTAAGGGGGATCGCCCTGCAATGGGTTCCACGAGCTTCGGCCATCTCCCGTATCAACCCAGCTTCCAAGACCAGCGCCGCAGTCGCAGGGGGGGCCCTGGACTACAAACCAGGCGAGCTGGTCGACTTCTATCGAGCTGCATCCACCAAAGATGCGAGCGGGTGGAGTGGTCCAGTCGCAGTCGTCAAGATGAGCGCCCAACAAGGCGCCGTAACCGGCAACTGCCGAGGCCCTGGACAGTCGCGCCGCCTCGGAGCTGCGCGGCGTCTCATGTACTTTTGGTTCATTGGTATACGGAGTTACGAGCCAACCTACTACACCCCACGGTCAGGCATGGCTGAGGGTAGAGCTGTACATCATGAGCCTACCGACTAGGACCCTTCGACGCTTTGGCCTCTCCGGCACCGGCATGGTCACCGCCGTCACCACCGGCGAGTGCTCTGTGGCCCTGAGCCTCAAGTATTTCGCCAGAAATGTTTTCAATCTCCAAAGTGTCGCGGCCATCCACGTCGGCCGCGGCCACGGGCCCATCGTGGCCGAAGAAAGTCGAGACTGTCACTCCTGGCATGGTCGTGACTGGCCCATCGCGAAGTGGATGCCGTTTGGAGCTTCGAGGCCGGTAGACTAGGCCTTGTCTTGCTCCTCGTTTGCGACCAGAGCAACATGTTTTTTATGGTTGATATTTGGAGAGGTAGCTGGGCGCTGCTTCGGAAATCTCGTGGAGGATGAGCTTCAAGTGGCAGACGCATGGGGAAGTGGCGCCGATCTATCTAAAGCCGGCACGCGCCACGGCGATTACACGCGCGACGACGGGGGGCTATCCACCATAGATGCTGGGTCCCAGGGAGATTCCATGAGCGATCGCTGCCTCGTCGACGCCACATGTTGGATCTTCGTAGCGCACGACCAACATGCCGTCATGAAGGACGTGTTGCTCACGTAATCGATCACTTTCGAGGATCTTAGAGACGTGGGCCCGACCTGCTCCGTCATGTCCACTATCGCAGGTCCTGCTCACAGAGGTGTGCCAGCACCACCGCTACTTCTCGAGACCGCAGAGGCCACCGACATCGATGAGGCCGCCAACGCCTGCGTGGACATCTTGGCCCCGGACGAGACGCGCAAACTCATGTTAAGTCACCTTGTTCCCGACGGTCACTGTGCGCGCCTCGGGGTCTACCCTTCAGGAACCAAGAGTGCAGTGGTCGAGCGTGACGCGGACTTCCTACCCCCCGAGGAGTTTCGAGAGCACACCGCAGCCGTCGCTGCCGCTGTGCTCGAGGAACTGCAAGTATGGGTCCATCAGTACTGCTTCTCACGGCGTCCTCGCCGAGGAGCGCGCAACAACATTCTTCCGTGCAGGTG